CATCTAGTTCCAACCCCCCTGCCATGGGCAGGGACACCTTCCACTAGACCAGGTTGCTCAAAGCCTCATCCAGCCTGGCCTTGAACTACATCTGAGATGCCAAGCAGATCCGAAAGTCTCTGCAGTTCATCAGAAATCAGCACGTTATCTGTAGGTACTTTAGCAGTATCTGAAAAGTGACCATCAAAATGCCACCTTGAAACTGTTTGTTTGAGGGTTTTTTTGGGGCGGGAGGAGGTGTTTAGGTTTTTTCCTCTCATCAGTGATAGTCTGAGTAATAAGACTTTGGAGGAAAGGTGTTGTGTCATGTGAACATTGTTTGCTTTGGTTGTTGTCAGTGACAGAAGGGTGGTTACAGTGAAATTGAGGTGTACACTGGCTTTATAACTTTGTTTCAGATCTGTGTTCTATCGCTCATACAAAGAGCAAGAGTCTAAAAAAGGGTACGACCAAGAGGAAGTTTTTGAAAAGCCTACACGCGAAACTTGCCAAGGTGAGATAGAGGAGTGTATGAAGACTGAGGGGTTTAATTACATGTTTGTGGGCAAGGATGTAAATTAATGTTGCCGAACTGAATCTGTCTTTAGGTTGGGACATATTAATATAGAAAAAAAAAATACATCCGTTGAGATATTTGCACAAAATCAGACGTCTCAGCAGTAGTCTGAAGGTGCAGGAAGACTTGTTGAATTTGTACAGGCCATCGAGGTCAGCATGTTGACAAAACTGGGAGCCTGCTTTTTTTGTTTTCTGTTTTCCCAAGGGATGAGACATGCGATCTATGACAAACTTGACGACGACGGTTTGATAGCACCTGGAGTACGTGTGTCTGGGGATGATGTCATCATTGGCAAAACAGTAACTCTGCCGGAAAACGAAGATGAACTGGAAAGCACGAACAGACGTTTCACAAAGAGAGACTGTAGCACTTTTCTGCGAACGAGCGAGACTGGTATTGTAGATCAGGTCATGGTAACCCTTAACCAGGAAGGATACAAGTTCTGCAAGATTAGGGTGAGCACTGTCGGGTGTGCTTTCTGCTCCTATCACTATTGTTCTGTTTTTAAGTTACCACCTGAATGTTTTCCTGTGGCTTACAGGTACGCTCTGTAAGAATCCCACAGATTGGAGATAAATTTGCCAGCAGACATGGTCAGAAAGGTACCTGTGGTATCCAGTACAGGCAAGAGGTACTCTTTTTTGGTTTTCCCTACTTAACGTTGTATCTTATCTTCTTCAGCATTGGAACCGCCATAAGCGTGTTGTCTGTGGAATATCTACTAGGGTGCAATATATATTGACTTAAATTTAGCTACAATATGTTGAGAAAGGGGCACAGCTTCTCCTGTGGTACTTCAGTGCCTTTGAAATGCTTTAAAAGATTTCATTTGAATCCATGGAATGACTTTTCTTAAAGCTGATAGTCTGGGAAGTACTGACTGTTTCCCTGCTCTAGGATATGCCCTTCACCTGTGAAGGCATCACACCAGATATAATTATCAACCCTCATGCCATCCCTTCTCGCATGACCATTGGCCACTTGATTGAGTGTCTTCAGGGGAAGGTAAGAACAACCTTTCATGCTGCATGTCTGAGAAAGAGGAATTGAAATGGTTTGGTGTTTTGTTGTGGCTTTCTTTGATAAAGATCCTGGTAGGTGTTAATCCATATAAAAAAATAAGGATTTTTTTCCAGTTACTGGATAGCAAAAGCAGGTTTCTTGGGAAAGACCTACAGCCCTGTAAATTTTGTCCAGCAAGTCAGACTGTCATGTACTCTCTCACCTGTTGCTTTTATTGTAGCCATTTCCTGTCACCCAGACAAAGGAATAGCAGAATTGTTGATACTGTCTATTTTTAAAAATCTCACTGTAACTTGTGTAGCTGATGATAAACAAAGCACGATAGGGCATGGATCATGGACACGGAATCTCAAGTTCTGGCATTAAAACTGTTTGAAATAGCTTAATGTTGTCTGACCAGTACCCTAGGAATCTTGCAAGCTTTTGCCAGTCTCTTCTCTGTAGGTGTCTGCAAATAAGGGAGAAATCGGTGACGCTACACCTTTTAATGACGCCGTCAATGTGCAGAAGATCTCCAATCTTCTGTCAGATTATGGCTATCATCTAAGAGGAAATGAGGTATAATCAAAATATCAATTCACTGTGGTTTTTTAATACGCACTTGATGGATAGGAAGGCTCATGATTCAGTGATTGCATTGGCTACTTCAGGTTCTCTACAATGGCTTCACTGGTCGAAAAATCACATCGCAGATCTTCATTGGTCCTACCTATTACCAGCGGTTGAAGCACATGGTGGATGACAAAATCCATTCTCGTGCAAGAGGGCCAATCCAGATACTTAACAGACAGCCCATGGAAGGTCGATCTCGGTAAGGATGTTTATTAGCTTCTTTACAGTGTGGGGTGGGTTTTTTTGTTTTGTTGTTGTTGCTTTAAGTTTTTAGCCCTAAAAATTAGCTGCCTGGACTTGGCAGCTAGAACTTAATTAGCCCACTGCAATCAGCCACCCACTTTCATGTGTTTGGCTTAAGATGATGTACTGGGTGCAGGTGTCAAGGTTTTGGTAGCAGGAGGTGCTGGTGGTGTGGTCTCTCTGAGGAAGGACCAGGGGTTGTGCTGTGCTGGGCCAAGCCACCTAGACTGGCTCCAACAGACCTGCTGCTGGCCAAAGCTGAGCCCCTCAGCAACACCTGTGGTAGCGTAGTTTCGAAAGGGTGAAAAACCATACAGCAGCTGTGAGAGAGGAGTGAGATAACAGGAAAGGAACAGCTCTGCAGACATCCAGGTCAGAGGAAGGGAGGGAAGTTGCTCCAGGTGCTGGAGCAGAGATTCCCCTGCAGCCCACGGAGGACCGTGGTGGAGCAGATACCCACACTGGAGCAGGCTTGTGGCAGGAGCTGTGATCTCTGTGGGAGACCCATGCTGCAGCATCCTGTTCCTTAAAGATCGTACCCTGGGGGAAGGGCCCATGCTGGAGCTGTTTGAGAAGGTCTGTGTCATGGGAGGGACCCCAAACCAGAGTAGGGAAAAAGTGTGAGGAAGGAAGGAGTGACAGAGAGGAGCTGTTATGCACTGACTGCAACCCTCCGTGCCCCATTCCCCCTGTGACCATGAGGAGAGGAGGAAGGACTTGGGAATGAGTGAGTGGAGCCAGAGAAGAAGGGAGGGAAGACAATGTTTAGTTTTGTCTTTGGCTTCTCACCATCCTACTCCATTTTCAATGGGCAATAAATTTAAACTAATTATCCCCATGCTGAGCTTGTCTGGCCTGTGAAGGTAATTAGTAGGTGATCTCCCTGTCTTTATCTCAACCCACGAGTTTTTCAGTCTTATTTTTCTCCCCCTGTCGGCATGGGGGAGTGAGAGCACTACTTGGTGGGCATCTGGCAGCCAGCCAGGGTTAAACCCACCACAGCTAAGTAGAGATGACTTAACCATTTACCTCATCTTGGCTATACGGTTGCGCTGTGGCTGTTGGCTCTCCGACATCTGCGTTAGAAACGCTCAGCAGCAGTTCCAAAGTAGTGTTCGCATTCCCTCAACCAGTTTTGTTCTGAGACGTTGGAGGAAGATTAACGCACCGCTTCACTCCTGCCTTGTGGTGCTGCTGTTGTGTTTCTGATCAGTTACTTACCAGTTCTTGTTCCACCAGCGTGTTTTGCCAACGAACTCAAAAGTTGAGTTTTCTTCTCTTTTCCTCTTTTCAGTGATGGTGGTCTCCGTTTTGGAGAAATGGAACGAGATTGCCAGATTGCTCATGGAGCCGCCCAGTTCTTGAGAGAAAGGTTGTTTGAAGCTTCAGACCCATACCAAGTCCACGTCTGCAACCTCTGTGGAATCATGGCGATTGCAAACACAAGGACTCACACCTACGAATGCCGCGGATGCCGGAATAAAACTCAGGTACATATGCTTTTCATCAGCCAGTGCTTCTCTTTGTGGGTAAGAGAACGTGCCACTGGGGTGAACAGGAAGATAGGGAAGTAAATATTTCAAGAAGGACCAGAACAATTGCTATTTTGGTTTTGTAACTGTTTTAAGTGTTTATAGTGCCCTAGTTTAATTTGGACGTCTCCCTATTAATTTTACGGCGTTGGCTTGTTACTTGGCAGGAAATGCTGTGGAAGTGTTTTGCAGTGCAGAGTTTTCAGAGTTTAAAAGTAAACGCCTGAGAGCTTATTTTTAGAAGTTAAACTCAGCATCAGAGGCATTTAAAGCCATTGCCCATGTGACTGTCCCCATGAAGATATTTGTGCTTGCAAAGCATGGTCTTTTGTGCTGCACATTACTTTTTTAATTAAAAAAAGGCTCTGTAGGGTGTGCTTGGCTACAGAACTATGTCAAGGGAGAGTGGTGGCAGCGATAAAAATAGTTGCCTTAAACAGGCTTGGTTTTGTGCTAGGGACCGACTGCTGCAGCTCTCATAATGGCCTTGGGGTTACTGAAGAGATGTGTGCTGGAAGTCTTAACTGCGTCTACTGCACATCAGACACGCTTTGCTACGCACGTGTCCCCTCGATAAATGGCTCTTGTTTCAGATCAGAGCCCCCTTGGCTGTGGGGTTTATCATTAAAAATGTGTTCTGGATCGCTGCTGTGTAGCCGCCGCAGACAGTCTCGGCTTCCCTCTGTGACTGTCTGTGAGCAGTTCTTGTTGCATGCTTTCCTGCTTAACTTCATTTTCACTTTTGAGCCAAAAACTTAACGAGTTATTTGTGTAGAGAGTGGTGGAAGTTAATGCGTTAGTGCTTACTATAAGCCTTCTGAAATCTCTTTCCAGATATCTTTGGTTCGAATGCCCTATGCCTGCAAACTCCTCTTCCAAGAACTGATGTCTATGAGTATTGCACCTCGTATGATGAGTGTTTAGCCTTTAAAAGGGCTTTTTTTTTTTTTTTTTAAATGGTGAGACTAAAATGCTCGGGGTTTGTTTTATGTTGTGTAGGTTGCATTTTAAATAGTTCTACTCATCTGCTATGTGCTGTTGAAAAGTTTTATTTCCTGTAAATAGAATTAAAATTTGTAATCAAACTTGTGCATCTCTTTATTTGTGTACATGTGAAATAAGTGTGCAAGCAGATCGGTAATCAAAGAGTAAGGGAGTTAAAAGGGAGTGATTAGTGAGCTAGAAAAAAGCCAGAGGTTGCAGCTTTCCAAAATACTAATTGAAAACTGTGCGTAAGTGGAAGTCCTCACATCACATCACAGCTCTGCACCATCATCTGTGGAAAAACAAAAGCATGTTACGCTCTGTACTGTTCCCTCTTTCCTTGCTTCCTTCCTTCTGTCCCAACTGCAGCAGCAGGGGCTGGTAACAGATGGCATTTTTCTGCGCTGAGATCACCTGGACGTGGGACGCAGCCTCCCTGACTGCCTAGAGCCTAGCTGTGACATCTGACAGTTTGTTCCATTAACATTATCGTTTCCTTTAACTGATGCTGGACTGACAGTTTATTGCTTAGCTACTGCTGCTTACTCAGAGCTTTCCTACAGCTGGAAAGAAACAGCTGTAACACACGGTGCGCGTAGGAGAAATAAACCCCACAGCAACAGAGGCCTTGCGGTGGAGTTGCTGTGAGAGGGGAAGCGAGCATCGTCTGTTCTGGGACAGAAGCGTGCTGCTCATGGCACAGCTTGGTAGAACTCCAGTTTCATTCACATCCATAAATAAGATGTCTGAAAAAGGATTAGAGACTAGCTAAAAACCTCCAGCAAGGTTCCTATGCACAAGCAATACTCGGAACCTTATGTTATTATTATTAAGTTCTGTTAATACTTTCCTAAAGTGAGTCTTTCAGCTATTCAGGGATATAAGGATACAGAAAATCAAAACTGTATAATTCAGATAAAACTATTGGGACTAAAATTAAGGATAATGTCTAAAAGTGGATTTAGGCATCACAGTGTTGTCTAGCTGGATGCTTTGTTCCCAGTGTCTCTGCCTCTAGCACGGTTCCTGTTCCAGCATTCCACATTTATTCCAAAGCACGTGAGGCTGTGGTACCAGGCCATCTTCTTTGCAGCTGGAATGAAGGTGGTCAGTTTGCCATCAGCTTGGCATGCAGCCTGGCAAAGAGGACCTGGGTTCGAAAACTGGCTGGGAGCTGGAAGGTAAAGGCTTCAAGTCTTGCCTGAAGGCCTGCTGTAGCATCTGTGTCCCCTTCTGCCTTTGACCCTCCAGCAGGCACAGAGAATGGCAGGGACTGGGATGTTTGCAGGATGGGGAAGAAAGAGGTGCAGCGACTTGGCAGCAATTTAAGTGCTTGAAGTTCCTCCTCTGGGGCTGGTTGTGCCAATATTGCTCCCAGGAGGGATGGGCAGGCTTAAGAACAGTGAAAGGAGGACACAAATTTAGGGCTGGAAAACCACTGAAAGTTGCATTGTGACTTTCAAATACCCCCAGATGTGTATTTAATTCAGTATCTTCATCTCCAGTACATTATAGCACTTGGGGGGTTATTTAACAATCCCTTGAGAGCTCTGGAAGCTGAGAGTTGCTGGGAATGTTTTGCCAAGCCCAGTAAAAGCTGCGTGTTAAACTGATACTTTTACTGTGCCTTTTTTTAATTTTTCCCCAGACAGCATTAAACGGGGTGGACCTTCTGCTGAAATAACTGAGTAAACTGTTGGGAAGAGAGCTGCTGAGTGTTCAGCCACACTACTTACCTTTGGTCAGGGCTATTTCATGCAGGGTTTCCACAACGTGGATTTTTGCAGAAGCTGTTGCCTCTCCTTTGGCATTTGATGCATGACACTCGTATTCTCCAGCATCCTCTTTGCTCAGAGGAGATATCTGGGGGGGGAAGAAACACACCCCCCATCCCCTGATAAGTATTCTGTGCGCCAGTAGAGGTGATTCTGTTTTAAGGTATCTCACATGACTTCTTACTTGTTGGAGACGTGATGCGATGAACAGAGTGTGTGAAGTAGCAGTTAACTCTTAGGGAACTGCGCCGACTACATCATTTCTTCAGTCTGCCCTGAGCAGTCTGGCTCAGACTGTGGTGGCTCCCTCCAGTAAGGTCTGGGACAAGCACCCCTTCCTGTGGATCGGTCTAGCTTTCTCCTCTGCTAGGCCGGGTTACGTGTGCTGTAACGCTCCCTCCTTCTATTGTTTACTTTGTGTGGAGATGTGCCAGCCCGCTGCACACTTGGTAAGGGTGAGGAGGCAGGAAGAAAACACCTTCCTACAACATGCTGCATCCAAACAGTCAGTTCAGCAAAACGCTTGGCTCAAACCTTTCCCTCCCCTTGGCTTCCAGCTCTGCTTTCGCAAGTGGTGCAGGAACCAGCACCCTGAGCTGTGCTCCCCTGCCACCAGCTCCTCTGCAGCTGGGAGCCGTCATGCCGCCATTCCTTCACTGGGCTGCACAGCAGGTCCCTCGGGCCGCCCTACTGCTTCCCTCTGACGCGTGGCCATCGTGGATCAGCCTGCAGGTACTGCCGTGGCCTAGGTCTGCTGAGTGAGTGGATGGCCTCTGTGCAGCGCTGTGTTCTGCCAGATCTGTACGGGCTCCTCAGGTGTGGGGATGCCTTGCCTCTGCTGATTCCTTCCTAGACAGGAAGAGGGCCTCCTTCCCACTAATGGCAGTGGAAAAGTAATAACGTACAGAAAAGAGGTCTTTTAAGTTTACCCCTCTCTGATCATAGCGTGTGTGATTCTACCACATGCTAGACGGGTGAAAAACTGCAACGGGTGAGATGGGAGCCGGCAGCCACCCTTACTCACCCGTCATGCCTAATTCACACAGGTTGTCTTCATCTAAATGCCCTGGCTGTTGCCATGTGTCCACTGTTCTTTGTCAGCTGTTCGCAGACTGCGCTGTACCGTTCGTGCAGCTTTGCATACACAAAGTACTTACGAGCACCCAGCCAGTCACTTCGTGTTTCTCAGGGCCCCCTCGGGTCTGGATAGCCAAGTTTTCCCGGTCCCCAGGTAGAAGCTCCATCCTCTGGACACCATACTGTCCCCGAATTATCTAAACAGAAGGGCAGAAAGGTGTGAGAACTCTGGGGCTTATTTATGGTAGAAAAGGTAGGCCCATACCTGCACACAGACAAGACCAACGCTAGTTTTACACAAACGTTTTGTGCAGGAGCAGTGGGGTTTTTTCTAGTTTTTTTCATGCAGCCCCATGCCTCAGCATCTGTGCCGCGTTCTCCTCGCCTCAGCAGGAGCGGATAGAGCGTGCAGCTTCCAGGCGTGGGCAGGGGTGGGCAGTGGGTGTGCAAACGCCCCCTGCGCGGGCGGTCTCACAGAACTTGTGTGCGTGTTCCCAAAGGGGTGTGATGAATAAGGTGTGTGATGAACAAGGAGGCTTGGGCTGCCTGCGGCTGCTGGTAG